TACTTCATAGGTACTTTTATAAATAATGTATATGTTTTGATATTATAAGATAGTATGATGTAAGTAAATAGGTACTATCAGTGTATGTGTTGAGATCCACTATCGTGGACCCCCATATTCATTTCATGGACCCCCAAATTTTTTTTCGCTGACGTAGACCCCTTGCAGGTTGTCATAGACCCCTACTGGTCGATATAGACCAGTTTGGGAATCAATGCGTTAGACGGTAGCTGTCCTTCTTGGTCACCTTGTTAAATATTCGGTATAGTCCACTCAAAATCTAGTTGAACCATCTTTCTTTTTAACCAACACTACCGGTGAGGCCCATGGGCTGTTGGACGGCTCAATGATTCCCTCGTTGGCCATACGTCTCATATCTTGTCAGCCTCCTCTCTTTTAGCAAGTGGGAGCCTTCTTGCCATCTGCTGGATGGGGCGGGCATTTTCCGTTTTGATTTTGTGCTGGACTATATTGGTTCTTCCTTTCTGTCCAGTATCGAATACATCCCGATATCTATGTGCTGGATGTTCCAGTTTCTTTCTTTGGTCTGGTCTGAGATCTCTGCCTGATGACGATATTAGGTCTTCCAGTTCCTTTGAGTTTTCCCCAGCTGGCATATTTCGAATGATTGCAGAAACTGGAGAGCAGTGTCCCAGCTCCGAGCCCTTCTTCAATGACACAAGGTAATGACTGACACTCATTAGTCTCACAGGAATAGTTTTATCGGCACGCACAAGGGCCTTTGCAACTGCTATCCCTCGGCCAATAGCCTCGTCATGCATCCTAGGTTCAAACATGACTATTTCTCCGTCTGTAGTCTGGCACTCTACCGAGCCATTCAATACAACTTCACTTCGTTCTGGGATCACGGTGTCTTCAGGCAATAGAACTCGTACGTTTCCATTCCTTTCAAGGTGTAAAATGACCTCCTCATTGGTGACTCTCAAGATTCCTTGATTAAAGTTCAACTCGAAGCCCTTTGTGTCCATGATGTCCATTCCGATGATTACCTCGTCCTCAATATCTGCTACTATCGCCGGATGTTTGAATGTAGCTTTTCCTATTCCAAATGCGATGTTTCCTTCACCGTACACGTTTGCTCGGTCTCCCGTCGCTGTTCGTAGTCGCCACTTGGATGGTCGAATCTTCGCCGATGCTTTCACCATGTCGGGCATTATGATAGTCTTTGTCGCACCTGTATCCAGCTGTACGGTGTGGAGAGTCCTATCCACAAATGCATCGACAAAAACACTGTTAGACTTATGTTTAAGCGAGGAGACTTGGATGGTATTAATTGATGGGGCTTGTTGGCTACAGGTCGACGATAGCCCCTTCACATCGACGTCCCTTAGTTTTCCGGATTGTCCGGATGAGGACTAGCACCTTCAGGTCAGAGTCTCTTAACGTGCCCTATTTTTCCACATTTCCAACATTCCAACTTATTGTTCTGGCGGCGACGTTCACCATCAAGTTCCTTAACAATGCGCTTGATGGACTCTTTGAACTCGTTATCTCCTGTGGTTTTAGCGGCTTCGAATTCTAAGGCCCGAGTTAGCGCATCTACTAGCTTAGGTAGATGTGCTAGTAGTAAGGGTTGCCTCATTTCACCATCACGAAGTCCATCCAGGAATGCTTGAACTGTCAATCGCTCCATTATCCTTTCCTGAACATCGAGATATGCTAATCGTACCAACCCCGCAATATCCGCTTCGAACTTCGCCTGACTTCTGGAACCGATTTAACACTAAAAGCTTGGACACATGCAGACATATGAATTTGTTATAGTAATTTATGTAGAAAATACATACATTTTTTTTAATTTTGAATCATACGAAATCAAAGTGTAAATAAAGCAAACCATGCTCGAGCAATATTCATATGACTTCTATAATGTATAAAACTGAATGTACATCAAAATAAAATTCTTAATCATGAGAAAAACACATAAAATATTAATTGCATAACTACATTCTCTTAGCCAGTCTCAAAAAACAAAAACATATAAACTATGAAACTACATCAGTTCACAGTCTCAAAATAAATCAATCATTACAATAGCTTCGAAAGTGATGTGAACAGACTTTTATATCAATCTGCTGGCTAATAAATAAAACCGCATTATCTTGATCGGATACTTTGGAAAATATCACCGTGGTGGTTTAAACGTAAGTAAACCCTTAACTCAGCATATTACAAAATCAAGGCGCCTATTCTTTTCGCTGGCGAACCGATCTATGATTGTATTCACGTCTATTTTAATATCCCTATGCATATACAAAAGAGCAAGACCCTCTAATCGCTCTTGTAACATAGTGGAACGCAGCCAAGTTTTTATCCTCTTTAGATGGGAGAAACTTCTTTCAGATGTCGCAACACTTACGGGAAATCACATCACTAATTGTAGGTATCTATTAATTGAAGGAAAAATGTTTCCATCACATGATAAATACAGTGACATTCCACTGTCTATAATATCTGGTGTACGTGACTTCCAAAGGTCAAATTCTGCTTTTAATCTGGTACTTATTAAATCTTTGTGTTCGTTACTATTTAGTCCATGCAAATATTTAGAGATTGTTTCTAATACGTCCATTACTTTAGCTTCAGTTTCTGAATTAAATACTGACGCAAAGAAAATATTAAAATTGTATATATTCAAATAATCTTCATTGAAGGTATACCAAATCCTGTAATATATTATCTCGCAAAGGGACATATAGGTTCAGTCTGTAATGATTTTCCTTGCCAGACGTAACTATGTTCGGTCTGTTCATTTGAATGCTTATTATTCTTGGCACAGTCAGTTCAATACCCAGGGCTTCATGTGATTTCATTATAGATGCGATTAATATTCTAAAGTGTATTTCGGAATTTGCGCGTCTTTCTTGTAAAACTGAAATAATTTTTCCTATGAGTTTGACAGCGTATTGTTTGTCAATTGTCTTTGATTGTAAAATCTTACTCAGGTTGACTGTTAAAGCTAATATATTACACAAACACTTTAGTGATACGATAAATTGGGTGGAAGTAATGGCAGTCTTAAAAGACTCCTCTTTTGAAGAAGCTTCGCGGTCTTTCCAATTTGATATAATATTTAGTACCTCTACAATTTTCTCGAATTTGCTTTCAAATTGGAGCACAGAATCATATCTCTCGGTCCATTGTGTTTCGCACATACTATGATTTTGATATCCGTCTAGTTTTCTTTTTAATACTGTATTTCTTTTAGCGGGTGCTTGGAAGAACGCAATTACTTCCTTCATCATACCTACAGTATTTCTTACTGCTTGGACACTGCTGTTTTTTGAAATCGAAAGATTCAAGGCATGATTTGCGCATGGGCTTTTTAGAGCATTTGGCAAACAGTTTTGCAATTCCATTACAACGACCTTTTGTTCACCTAACATTAGGTTACACGTATCAGTACCAATGCCCACACATAGTTTTGAGTCTAAGTTATTGGTTTTAATGAAATGCTTGACTGTTTGAGCTAGAATTTGACCTGTGAGTTTGGGCTCCACAATCACCGGTTTTGCCATACAATTTCGAAAATTTCTTTAGTGGTGCAGTAACAAGTTTTCCAAATTTAGTTGATTTATGTACTCCCAATTTTGCAAAAACCACACAATATTTACAGAAAAGCCCTTGTAATTCCTCTGAATATGACAGCCAAGATGGTGAGTAACATTTCACTTCTTTATTATTTTTCAAGTGTGTGGAGTAGGGATATTTGTAAGAGTCATTAGAGATCATTGCACACCCCAATAAGGTATATTTTTCGTGGGAAGACAAGTTAGTTGCCGCTGAAATTTACATATGGCGCAACATCAACAAAATTGGATCCTTTAGGTTTCGCACCCGATTGTTCAACACTTGGTTCAGCATACGGTGCAACATCAAGAAGTTTTGAAGTGGAAGGCTCAGGTTGAATTGTAGGATTATTATCAGTTTTTTCTGGTAATTCTTGTGCCGGTGGATCCGACAGTTTGTTGTGTTTAGAAAGGAACCAATCGATGGGATTCTATTTCCTTTTACTCATCCTGACAACAGCAGCCGTCAACAAGCACTAAAAGTTACAAATATTGACAAATAAATGGCATTATTCATTTCCACGCATTCACGTATTTTCAATTTTCAAAACTAAATATATAATTTGCCATCTCGGACGAACGAAATGCACTGAAGTGCTTATATGATGATGATAGCTGGAGTATGCACCAAACACTTATTAATTGTAATTGAAATTATATTAAACTTCCATTTTTCTGCCTGTCATTCTTTAGACACGATTCTTTTATAGTATAAAAATTAAAAACAAACAAAAATTAATTTTCTGGCTCATGTGTGGAAAATAAAAAATCAATAGAACATAGAAAATAGCGTTAATACCAACCAGATCAACAAAACTCCGCTTATTGTTCACTTCTCAACCAAATTCTGTTGCGGACTCCGGACTGGTACAGAATTTAGACACTAGACTATAGACCATAAAAGACTAGACTATACCTGTTCCAACAGGAGGAAGCGAACACCGTTGCTGTTGGTGGGAGAGTAGTCGCATGCGCACTGATCGGGTTGGCAGTATTGTCGCTATCCTCTCTTAAAGTTACAGAATTTTTTATGAGACGTTTACTTTATACCACCTTTTCAAAGACTGCTCGAGTCGTCTGGGGAGGGGTGTGATTACCTCCTTAGAAAGGATGTACCACAGTGCTTTGTTCCAAAAGCAGTATGTTGGTAAAGTAAAATTTGGTACAAAATGACAGCAAATCTGCCCTTGTGCTATTCTCTGATAGGTGGCGCTCACGGCGTATGAGCAACACAAATATACTACAAATCACTATTAATCAACAGATCATTTCCTGCCACCAGTCATGCAATAAATAGTAAAAGATAAAATGCAGTTTTCGACAAATCTAGTTGTGCCTGGCTTCTGAATAATAAATTACCTTGCTTTACCTAAATAATGAGTCTGGCAACACTGCTCATTCGGTGACGGACTTGGATGAACATTTTTGTTCCATGTCACGTAGATCGTAGATGTTAGATGACGTTAGATGACGTTTGAGACGTCAGAATGACTCATTCCCACATTCCCAGCTTGCAACGAATAGCTTTTATTGAAATTGGAAGTTCCCAGTCGATTTCCTAATTCGTTTTTCGTTTATTTAGTGAATTAAAATAATTATAGCAACAATGGCAAATAGTAGCTATAGAACAGTGTACGCTTTCGCCAGAGAAATGTATCCAAAACGAATAAAACTGGAAATGCAATATGGTACAGCAGGTTTCCGTAGCAAGTAAGTGCATTTTTTGCTCTTTTAGGTTAAACTTGTTCTTGGTATGACCTACATTGTCTTCAATTGATTTCTGAATTAATTTTTAGGGCTAGTAACTTAGATCATGTTATGTACCGTATGGGGCTGCTTGCTGTACTTCGGGCTAGGTATAAAAAAGGTTAGTTCGGAATATCTTGATGCAACAAAAAGTTATTGATGAGCTTCACGGCAACAACCATTATGTAGAAATAACAATATAATATTGTGTTTTTGATGAATGCAACTCAATTTATTTTAGTATTTTGAATATATATTTCAACATTTGAGGATTTAACTGGCTATATATCTAATAATAAACAGCTTCATAATGCTTTTTGCATCATAAAATTGTAGATAAGATTGATAAAATCTGTATATTTTGATAACTAACATTGTACCTGCATGTATATAATGATATCAAACCAATTGAGCAGTTTCTGGCTACATTCTATAATTGAAGTATAGGAACAATAAAAACCATACCATAAAAGCAAAACTGGTAGTAAGGCTATTTACATAAATATACATAATGCAATTAGTCATTAATAATGCACTTTTACTTTTTTATAAGTTGCATACATACTTTAAGTAGAATTTATATTTATGGACTTTAAAATAAGATATATTAAGCATTTTCCACTTTATAATTTCTACATATAAGATTTGAAATAAAAAACTCTACTTATATGAATGAATAATTATACTATACTGTATTTGGGATTTCAATGTTACACAAAAAAAAATATAAGCAGATCAACAAATTGTCGAAATAAAGCATTCAAGTAGTGTAAAATATGATGCCTTATTTGAAACATATAATGAACTTATGGTAACCATTGACATTTAGGCACAATATGCTTGAAAATATACTATCCTAGCATGCTCCACTCCAAACCTTCATTGCAAATATAAACAAATCTCTGTATATTTAACTGATACAAATAATAATGATCTTTGTATTGCTAAATACACATTATATGATATTTTTATGAACTTTAAACATTTTTATAAACACATGAAAAAACATGTTTTAGTGGTTTCTCAAAATTGTGTTACTTAGTGTGATTTAAACTGGGTGTCTTTGTGAAAATGTAACAATTTCACAATTTGACCTAAATCAATGCATAGCATATCAAGAAACCTTGAGAATCTGAGCTGTCAGTCTATATGATTATTTTGTTTCAAGGCCTTTGGAACTCCAGAGTTGTTATTATTTATTTCTTTATTTAATAACAATAATATTTAATAAAGATTATATACAAAAATTATAAATGCACATAAATATATAACACAACAATATAATTCCTCTTCATCAAGTAAATCCTGATGGCAGAAAGATGCACCTAGATGGTTCAAACCACCTGTATGTGCTTTCATCATCCGGACTTACAAATGAAAAGAAAATGCTATTTATTGGATTATAAAATACAATAAAAAAAAACAATAATCAACCTCAATATCCCAAACAATAGTTCAATGATACAAAAAATCATTAGAAAAACCTTTCAAATTGTGCAGCATTCTCAAAAATATATTCTCTGCAGCTGGTGCTAAATGTTTTAATATTTTTCATCATTTTCAAGTGTTCTGGCAGAATGTTATATATCTTAGGTCCTATATATGAGGGATGTCTTTTAAGTTTTGCATATGGAAATAAAACAACACGGTAGGTAGTTTTAAATGACTTTATTGTTTTTCCAAGTATTCTCGACGAAGATTAATACACATCTGCATGCGCTCGAACCAATTTTCAAAGCACTTATTCCACTCATTTGTTGGCAGATACAAAATGGCATTTTTGAATGTGTCAACTGCTTCTGGTGAATGGAACCTTTGACCACGCAGTCTGTTGTTAATTTTCGGAAAAGTAAAGAAATGGTTAGGACTTAGATCGGCACTATATGAAGGATGGTCCAATAATTCCACGTTTTCTTCCGTTAAATACTGCCTTGTTTTTTGGGCTGTGTGCATTGTCTTGGTGGAGGATGATTCTTCTCTCAGGGTTGATTTTTCAAAGCTTGGTGATGACTTTTGGCAAACAAATGGTGGTATAGCAATCCGCAGTAACAGTTCTTTGCTCATTAAGAGGAATTGTTGCAATATGACCCGCTTTTGACACAAATGTCGCGACCATCTTTTTGGAAACACTTCGAGAACGGATTACTTTTGTTGGCTTTTCTTCACCTTGGAACACCCAAACAGCCGACTGTCGTTTATTTTCTGGTTCATAACAGTAAATCCACGATTTATCACCACTAACAATGCTGTACACATTTTTTGAGAAACTAATTTTCTTACTCCTAATTCTTCATGTAAAACTTTTGAATTGAGGTCTTTGAGATCTTCAAGGACGCCTCAATCTCGCGATATGTCACATGTCTATCTTCAATGATGAGTTTGCGCACAGCATCGACGTTTTCCTGGGTGACTGCCGTTTTTGGTGCACCCATCCTGGGATCGCCGCTAAGACTCACCCGTCCACGTTTGAAATCTCCATACCAACGGGAAATTGTCGACTGATGTGGCGCTTCGTTGCCGAAAACAGACAGTAACTCAGCAAGGCCATTCTTGTTGCGATAATTGTCTCTGAAAGTTGTAATAAATTATGGCGCGAAAATGTTCTCGGTTGAGTTCCATTTTTCTAATGACTTGGTGACACTTAAAAATTCACTGTTGTGAGAACACTGCACGTATTGTTGTGAATTTAAGTTTACTAAAGAGTGAGGTTATAATTCAGTACTGACGTTCGATCCGCGCGGCCTACTGTGTTTCTATATGCAAAACTTAAAAGACATCCCTCGTACGTTATGTATCTTAAGTTTAGGTTATTGTTATTCTTGGGAATTTCTATTTGCCTGCCCACATTTGCATGAGTATAGTAGTTATGACTTACTTGTTTCTGTAATTTTTCGTTTCTATAAATAAAAGTAGATACTGTCATCACATACAAGGATCTAATATTACACACATCCTTTGTAAAAAGTTTATTTGTGAGGAATCTTTTATCTTTCTTTAAAATAATTTTAATAATATATTTCTAAATAATAATGAGTTTATGCTGATAATTATTATACAATCCCCCCCCATACTAATATCCCATATCTAATTATAGATTCAACAAATGCTTTATAAACTGTTATTAAATTTTTTTATTCAGATAGTCACTCAGTAGATAAATTTATGGATTCTACTCAATACATAATCAACATGCGGCTGCCACTTTAAATGTTGGTCAATAATGATTCCCAGATATTTAGTTTGAGACACTTCTTTAACAGAATAATTATCATCCAACATAATAGTGCTGTAATTTGGTCTGTTTTTATTGGTCAACGAAAACGCAATATAGTTTGTCTTAGATAAATTCTAGTTTACTCTCTTGAAACCAGTCTTTAACCATACCTAGACCATACACTGTTTTACACTTTACATCCTCCCAACTAAAACCTGCAAAAAGAAGTACAGTATCGTCAGCATAAGAAATAGTTAAACCCCCCGTGTCTTAATAAAGAACTATTAGATTCATTATTATATGAGGTCTGAAAATTATGTGATGAGACCGATTTGTATTGTCGCCCTCAAAATAACTTCCTTCTGAAGCCATGCAGTGCTGGAGACAGTTCTCCCACTCCTCATAGCAGTGCTGGAACTCAAATACTGGAATAGCTTTCAGCTGGTCAGTTACAGTTGACTGACCCAAAATGGGTTTCCTTGAGGTGCTTTTCAAACTTTGGGCAGAAAAAAAGTCACAAGAACTCAAGCCAGGCTAATGATGAGGCTGATGAGCCACAGGAATCTTTTTACTGGCCAAAAACTCATTTATTGACAATGCTGTGTGACAAGGAGCATTATTGTGATGCATCACCCAGTTCTTGATCTGATGGATGGTGGTGTGAGTCAAATTTAACTCTTCACCGATTATTCTGCCTTTCAACCGATTCGGCACACTCCCTTCTGAAAATGCCTTAAACCACTGAAAAACCTGGGCTCTTGGCAAAACACTACCTCCATAGGCCTGTTTAGCAAGAGTTTCCACTGCACTATGCCCAAGTCTGATGCAAAACCCGATAGCACACTGTTGCTTGAAATTGATGTCACTCATTTTTAGAACCCAATACACAAAAAAAATCGCTATGGACATCCAAATGTTCTCGTCTCCTGTACCCCCTAAAAGCCCGGCGCGCCTGCAGTGTTGCTAGATCGAACGCTACGTTGCCGGTCTCATCACTTAATTTAGAGACCTGTATATACGATTAAAGTATACTTTTTATAGTTCCCCTGGGACATACATAAGGAATATGAAAATAAAATAAGCTGTTTTTCTTAGTTTTCACTGAAAACCCAAATACTGCATATTTACCCATATTCGGTGAGGTTCAAATTTGGCTGACGTCGTAATGTGTACCAGAGAGAAGCGCGCGACTGTCCAATGTCTATGTTAGAAGGAGTGCGCCGATAGCGTCCATGGCCTCGTCACTCGGGTTGCTAGGCAACGAGGTGCTTTTATCACTTTCTGACACACGTATTGTATGCTTCTCGCGCTTCCCTCTCGTACACATTATGAGGCCATGGTATTTGGTTTTTAGTGTATAACTTCTACAACCTTAGTGGCCTTTTTTCAATACTATGGATTATTTTTACAAATAATTTGACGTCCTCATAACAATTAGAAGATACATTTCAATAACAAAGGATTTAGCTTCAAACTTCTGTCTCTTAACTATATCAGATTTTATGTATCTGGCATTTTTTCTTAGCTGTTATTGGTGTTATGATTACTGCATCTCACAACCCTGAACCAGATAATGGAGTGAAGGTAGTAGACCCACAAGGAGAAATGCTGGAACAATCTTGGGAAGCTTGGGCAACAAAGTTTGCAAATGTTGTGTAAGTTTTGATCAATTAGCGTAAGACGGCATTGGTGTTGAATTAAATAGAATGTTTTTTTAGACAATTTAAAGTGGATATGTATGAAACAATTGAGATTCATTTCTTGTCCACTGTTGATAAAACTTTGTATCAAGTTCAAAAATGAATTGATTTATCTTATTTAGTTTCACTCCAATTTGGAATCATCAATGAAAATGGTAAAAAACGTTTGTTTGACAAAAGTTTCCAATTGGGATTAGCGAAGAATTGAAAAAGCATTTCCGGGACACAATTGAGTTATCAGTAATATACAGGGTGATTCCCATAACCTACACACAGCAGGGACATGTAAATATTGTAATTCATACCTATATACTAAATTGGCCCTGAGCAGTTATAGGGTCATTAAAGTGGGGTTTCAAATTCCGAAAAAAATAACTTCCCAGTTATTCTTTAACATAGAAAAGGCAAATTTGGTACTTGCTTTGAGCGTATCAAAGACTATTAATCAACTGCAATTAAAGTACAATTGAAGCATTTTAAAGGGTTGCAGAGCGATGATGCACCTCTAAAGTGTGACTAAAATGTTAACACGTTAGGGGACTTAAAAAATTATTACTTCATTTCATGCAGAATTTGATTCTAAAACTTCTATTATTTGTGTTATTTTGAAAAGACTGCCGTTTTTAACAAAAACCTGAATAAATAAGAGCATGTATTGCAGCTGTTATTTAAAATTAACAAAAAATCCAAACATTTGCTAGTAAATAATTTGATTTTAGCTGAGTTCTGTACAATTTTCCAGGAAGTTTCTATTTAGCAAATAAGTTGACATACTATTGGTGTTAGGTTTTGATGATAGAAACTACAGGAGAAGCATTAAAGAATATGGAGAAAATTTCCTAATCATGTAATACCTCATAGAGAAACTGTTTCCAATGTTAAAGACGAGCCTGAGATAGTTCTTCGCACGATGAAGAACTTATTTTAAATACAATCGAAGATGACCCACATATTAGTACTATAGATCTATTTTGTTAATATGATATATTGCAAACTTCTGTGCACCTAGTAATAAAATTTACTGCACCCATTTCATATAAAAAAGTGCAAGAATTGTTGCTGGATGATTCGGTTCAATGAGTGGATTTTTTTTCAGTTCATTTTACATCAACTCATTACATTCCAAAAGAAAATTCTCTTCACTGATGAAGCTTGTTCTACTCTAGAGGTATTACATATTTATCACGAATATTCCGACGTAAACCATAATTCTCTCGTTTAGACTAAATATTTGGATCTGTGTTATTGTTCGGTATTTAATTATCCGGTTATTTCACAAAATCGACTAAATGGCGAAACTTATTCGAAATTTATTCAAAACACTTTCTCGAATCTACTTGACGACATGCCCCAGCAAGTTAAACCGGGACATTGGTTTATGCACGATGGACCGCTTTGTCATTTTAGTATTGTAGTTAGAGACAATTTAAACCTTCAGTATCCAAATAAATGAATTCGAATGGGAAATAATTGGCCACAAGGCTAGCCTCCACGTTCAACACACATTAACAAATGTGACTTCTTCCTTTGGTGAACATCTAAAAAATTTAGAAATGTTTAGCAATTTGATAAGGTAGATTTCAATTTCTGAGGAAGAATAAACATATGCCTGAGAAATAGAGTAATTATTCTGAACAGTTTCTGTGCAAATTGTGTGTTATTTCTATTAAGTTGCTGATTTTACGATTAATTTATTTTTGTTTCCAACTTTTTACCTGATTGTCACTGACCTTTAATTTCACTGCTAATGATTGAAGTTTAGATTATTTTAAGTAACACAGCTGCAATACATGCCTTTAGTTATTTGAGTGTTTGGTTGAAACAACAAAGTTTTTTTTGTAAAATTACAAGAGTAAAAATGTTTTAGAATCAAATTCTTCATGATAATTAAAGGGATATTTTTTTGTGTCCGCCAACGTGTTGAAAAACAGTTACATTTTCAGGGTCATCATCTCTTTTCCACCGTTTAAAATGTTTGAATTGTACTTTAATTGCTGCAGATTAATTCTCTTTGATATGTTCAAAACGTGTTCCAAATTTACTTTTTATAAGTTAAAGAATAACTGAAGTGTTAGATTTTTTCCAAAATTTGATACGTCACTTTTACGGCTTACAACACCTCATGGGTGCAATTTAGTATATATGCATTGATTAACGTATAATACCTGAAGTTTGCCAATCTAATGCTATATTCGCGCATTCAAAAAATTATGCGACGTAAAATGAGATACCCTAGCATCGTTATAAGAATTTGTCACAGTTGTTTCTCTATTTACTATATATACTTTGAAAAGCTTAGTATCTCACAAATGGCGTCATCTATATGAGCATATACAAACATAAACGTGACTACATCATCATCTATCTTTTAAAGTATATAGAGACACAGCTGTGAAAAGTTTTCATAGATGACGTTATGGTATCTCATTTTATTTCGGAGAATTGATTGTTGGAATAGCGTATATAGCAATAAGTTGGCTATCTTCAGGTACAATATGTTAATCAATAATATAGGTAAGATGCGTTCAATTACAATATTTTAGGTTAAACTACATGCCGCTGCTCTGTTCCGGTTCATATGTATATGTATTACTTTTAAAATCAACAAAATTTCATATCTGATATTCTAAATGCTTTTAAAATTGCTATTTATAAACTTAATAGAAATGTCTTAAGTGTTAAAATGTAGAGTAACACTAAGTGTTTCTGCGTTCTTTGAAAGTGATTCAGTTGGAGCGGCAGTGTTGAAGACCTTTTAGAACTACATTTAATGCAAGAAATGTGACAAGCAAGCTAATGGTGTACAAGTGATGATCAGACTCAAGAAGTATGTTGCTGATAGGTTGTTACTTTCCACAGATCGTTCATTGCACATTATATTTATGTAATGGGAGTACTTGGTTAATAATAAAAATACCACATGTGTTGAATGAATGACCTGGATAGATTTTATTTGTAAAATATGTTACTTATACACTTATCTTGCAGTCAAGGTTTTTAAGAATAAAGATATAGTATATACTCACTTTTTTACTAGCAAGTATATACTTAGTGACTTTTCGAGTTGCTGTTAGGTTGCATTTGGTGAGAAGAGTACCTAAGGTTGCAAGAAAAGCATCTCAGTAAAACTATTTTTGGATCTTTGTATATCGTGATTGTGTGTAGAACCTAAATTATTTAGGGCACATGCGACAGTTATTTTTTTAAACATAATCTACTATTAATTGGATACTTGGGTAGACCATTTCAATGTATGATTCTTGAATAGGATACAACATATCTACAACAGTCCAGCTGATTTTTTGTTCAGTTTTTGGCTATTTTGTAAAAAAAATGAACAGTTGACCCCAATAGATCCCATGGTAACTTATTTCCGTGTATCTATCTAGAGATTTGCACAACCTCATTTTTCATCAGTACTCATTATTCTAGTCTTGTTAAATATTAAATGTAAATATGCAAATGTGACACCGTGTGGTACCTCCTCGCTCGATAGTCCAAGAATGTCTACCACCTACGAATAATCACAACATCCATGGCCAAGAGACTGACTAGTAGACCCATATGGTCTACCAGTGGCGGCACGTGACACAATAAAACAGGTGTTCTGCAAATCCGAACGAATTTTTTAGGTCAGTTCGATCCTGCGCTCCTTCTTGGCAGCAAATTTGTCGATAACCTTCCCGTTGAAATTTTCCATCTTCGAAATAAATTTCTTTTCAATGGACAGCATCGACTACGCTGTAAGGCGATCCTGGGTCATAGTATTTCGAGGAACGGTCTTGATTCTTTTCAATGTTGAGAAATTTCGCTCAGCCTCTGAAAGGGTTCAGTGCAAATACTTTTGGCTTCATTTATAATGTCATCAGATTTATTTCTCACATCGACAATACATTTTTCAAAATTATCGATAGCCGTTTTAACTTGCGATTGCCCGGTTTTTCTCTTCTGCAACTGGTTGAACAAGAGGTCGACGTGAGGCATGACATGGTGAAAAAATTTCAACCAAAACACGAAAACAGAATCGTTTAACATACGGCGAATACCGCAAGCTACCTTGCAAACGGTTTCATTAGTGAAATTTTCTTCTATTTCTTCCATGCATTCAATGAGTGATTCTCTGTTCTCAAACACTACATTTATTGTTCGAATATTAAAATTCCAACGAGTTGTTGCTCCTTGGGGAATTTTTTCTCCACAATTCTGTTCAGTACCTCTACGCGTTGAGAAGAATATTTAAAAATCCCGGAATATCTTTCAAATCCCCAAAGAACACCCGAACTTGAGCATTTGCGGAAGCAGCTTGGGACATAATCAGGTTTAACTGATACGCATAGCAATGCACATAGTGAGCAAATGGATATCTTTGTTTAATTTTTGCCTGTACTCCAGCATTATGTCCGCTCATTACCGCTGCTCCATCATAGCTTTGTGAAATCAGTTTGTTAGGGAAATTTCCTATTAATGGATCTACGACGCTCAAAATATGTCTTGAGAGTATTAGCGTCACATTTTTCGGGATTCATATAATTCCAAAAACGTTCTACTGGTTCGCCGTTAAATACGTATCTGAAAATTGTTACCAGTTGTGTTTTCCCCGAATTGTCCGTTGTTTCATCTGCTATTATCGCCAAATACGAGTCTCTGTTAATCTGTTTTATTATTTCTTCATGACAAACTTCAAGAATACAGTCCAGTAGATCGTTTTGTATTTATTTCGAAGTTCCTTTAAATATTGAAGCATTTTTTATGTGTTCGTTTAAGGTTGTATCAAGCTCAGCAGAAAAATTAATCAGTCCACGAAATATTCTCGGGTTTTGGGAGCTCTCGGTTTCGTCGTTGCCCCGTAGCGCCAATTTAAATGCTCCGCAAAATTTTATACAATCGATTATTTTTGATAGAACATACCTGTTTTTTGTAACAGTATCATTATGCTGTTGTATATTTCTCCAATATGTTGAATCTAACTGAGCTCTGATGTTAACAGTCCCCAATAAAGCCAATTCCATCGAATTATGAAGATGTGTTTTAGAGTTTTCATGCTTCTTAATTGTTTCAATCAGGTGCACTAAATCTGTAACAGCTATCTCCGTCCAAGCTTTGTCACCCCCGAAAAGTATGCAAGGAAAGCAGAAAAGGGCATTCTTCCTGTTGCACCCACAAATCCAGTCATTTCTGGTGTAAATCTCCCTGCTGAAATGCCGCGTATAGCCCTTGCCCCGACTAACGCCCTGTGTTTCTATAAATATGTCCGGCAACGGTCGACCTGACACATTCAGCTCAATTTTTTCTTCAAATGTGTATTTCCGAAATTTGTTTCACGCTGATAAGTGTGTAAACCACATCCATTGTCTTGCACTACCCTTCTACACAGCCACAGTCAGTCAGTGAGTCACTAGTCACTCAACGTAAAATCCAAAATACCTGAATAAAAAATTTTTCGCATTCAAATTTTAAGCCCCGTCACGCGACAAAACCAATATGCCAATACCGAGCACCGACCGACCAATGAGATATCGTACTTCGCATTAGATCTGTACGGATCTGTATAAATTGCAGCACATGCTTATGCTTAAATCGCGCATTTGATTTTGTAGAGAGATACAAAAGCAAGCGCGTGCGGCTTGTGTCGAAGTAGTGCACAGACCCTTTTCAAGTGCCCCATAAATAATGTTACGCTGCGGTCGCGACGAAAATGACAAGTACACAATTGGTCGATTATAATGCTGCAAAACAGACCCGACGCCGTGTCTTGCGGGGGCAGGCCGGTATTGTTTCTATTTGTGTGATAACATGGAAAATAAATAATGATCAAATTACTACTGCTTTTTTCTGTTAAGACAAAAGTTTTGGCAGTTCTGCAGAACTTAAGGGCCAGCCGCCCCTGTCGTCTACCATTACGCCACTGCTCTACCCAATGATGTAATTGATAGATGTATATGTATTTTATATAACTAGGCCATTAATCTAGAGTATAATCCACATCCGTGTTGATTTATCTCATAAATAATTATTACTTTTACTAGCGTTTCAGCGACCGCAACAGTTGTTAAATAAACTTCCAAAAATGTTGCTTTTTAAACTTTGTAGTTTGAGAAGGCTTCCGAATTAGGTGATACGTCTGAGGTTTTATTAATCGGCGGCAACATTTTTTTACTACGAGGGTACCTCCTGCTTTTCTAAAAAATGTGACTTGATTTTTAATATCAGAGCCGTCGCGGAGACTTAGTCTAGGTATTGAGGCACCGCGGCTACAACATGAAGGAACTAATGTCCTAATATGCGATGAAATTTGATGCATTGGTCGCCCATTAATAAAGTCACCTTTGGTTTGTGACCTAACTATTTTTGAAATGTACCTAGATATGATATATAGTACAACAATACAAATTCATTTTTTAAAATTTTTGTCTGATCTGCACGCTGTTGTGTCACCAAAAGAAATAAAATATTTAATATTTAGAGTACTCATGAGATATCTAGTATTCCAACGGTAATATAGAAAATTCGAACTTACATTTCTCCTGGCTTTAGTAATTCAAATTGATTTTTGGTAAACAGAAAATGTCTGTTTACTGTAATGTAACTCGCCCAGTTCATATAATTGTGTGTTCATTTTATGGAGCATTAAAATATAATTCTAGCGACGAAAAATTAGAAGACACGATAAACGAATTGATAAAGGAATTCGACATTGGGAACATGGGAGATAGGGTAGAAGTGGTAATAGGCAGAGATACTCGACCAAGCAGTCCACATTTGACTAAAGCCGTAATGGACGGAGTTCTAGCTTTGGCAGGAAAGCCTATTGACTATGGAATTGTTACCACACCTCAACTACATTACTTTGTTGTATGCAAGAATACTAATAGGTGAGAATTTTGCAAATAGAGGTCAAATGAAATTAAGGAAAATGCAAAAATTGTCTTTTATTTTCTTGGGTAAATACTTCATATCAAAGATATGTGATGAACAAATATTATTAGGTTAAATCACATTTGTAGTTTGTTCATCAACGACGTTTGTAATATCTGAGTTCCTCTAGCTAGAATACAAAGCTCCAATTTTCTCTCTATTATACCAGAGTCATTTTTTTTGTTAAGTTACGTCAAACAACTTTAGTATTGCTGCTTGTGAGTTTTTTTAAGTGAAAGGTTTTATAAAATTTCATAGGGTCGTTGTGTAAAATTTTCCAAAAATATTGCACAGTCACTAAAACTTTCATTCATTCGTTACATATCCCACCATGGTAATGCTTGCTTTTAGACGTGATACTAGTCATCCCATTTTTCCAATTAATAATAGAAATTTTCTTAATAATAATAATAATTAATTAATTAATCATATACGTTCGCTTCTATTTAAGATTAATTAAAAACTTGTTGATGATTCCTTGGTCTGTTTTTATTATTAGACTTACTCAGTATAATCCTCTTCACTATTGGTTGAATGTCATCACACATTTTAATAACAGATGATTGAGAATATTTTCTGTATCAACTGAATATACAAAATTGGCATACTCGCTCTTTCCTATCTTTTATAGGTAGCTATCAAAGCAATGTCCTGTGAGAAACCTATCCGCAACGACCCTTGTCAATCCAGATTTCAATACCTGCTCGATGATCAATTGCCCCACCTTTTTCGCAATCTAAGAAATACCGAACCCTTTTATCGTTTGTATCTCCCGCACTATTTTATAAAGTGAAATCTGTAGAAATGCATGCGCATCACCACCTTTCGATGTTTTTTGAATACTAGCTGTTTGTACTTTTTCATCAGAGCGTTGAAGGAGAATAACGAGCTACATAAAGCATGATCGGACTCGCCACCTACGTCTTTCACTACTGCAGCCTTCCTCAGATGGTATTAGCCGAATCAGGGGTACAACGACTTAATTTGCCTTGTGCGTTCATTCGTTTCTAGGTCTTTGTCGGACCACACTCCCAGATATTTTACCGAATGTTAGCTTTAGTCTCGGGACTTAAACCGCTTGATTGGTTTGTGGTTTGATTCTGTGCGCCCATCAGATGTGGAAAGTGTGGAATAATTGCTAAATGGATTAATTTACTTGAGCATACAGAGATAAATGAAACATTGCTTTATACCTGTGGATCGAGAAGTTTTACATTCAGTGAAATATTTGTTTTGTCCTGTAACTTTGAAAAAAGCGGTTTTTGTAAAATTATTTCTGACACCTTTTGACTGCCTCGTATGTTTAAAACACCCCCTGAAATAACGCACTGAACTATTTTTGGTTTTCCATTTCCAATCCTAAATTTCTTTAGACGATATGGTCAGCCTACAGAAGAAGGTTACTACAGAAAACTGACGAATGCTTTCAAGAAAATTCGGGGAAATAACTACACTTGTGGGAAATATACAAATAAAGTACTATACGATGGCGCCAATGGTGTTGGTGCAAAGAAAGTCAAGTATCTGAAAGAAGCACTGGGAGAAAGTCTGATAATCGACATGTATAATGACGAAATAATCGGTTCTGGGAAATTAAACTACTTGGTGAGTGATTTGGAATGTACCTTATTACAATAATTATCATATGATGAATACATATGCATACACATAATCGAGCATACACTACTCGGCAACATCGAATGAATACAGACTTGTAACGATCTGTGACACTGATAGTTTACTCAGGACATGTTCTTTCATATAATTTTTGCTTTTTTCTAGTTCTTAACACAATTACTGACGAATATACTGTAGATTGCATGAAATCGAGTGCTTTTGGATTTTTTATCACCTTTTGGACCACAGTTTTTCGAACTATCGAGGACAGCAGGTTTGTGTGAAAAATATGCTGATTCCATAGAGTATTGGTTTGAAACTTCGTAAACAATCCCAATATATTTAAACAATTCTATAAGTTCCATTATAAACATATTTATTTTGTGTTGAGTATGACAAAATAAGAAAATGATATTAGCAGAAACATCTGTTTTTAAGTTGAGTAATCACTAGTAAAATGTAGCGATGTTTCCTATATGAGTATTGAGTTTATGTATTCTAGCAGTGTTATAACTTCTGTGAAGACGTAAATTAAATGACAGATTGCTTATTATTTGAGAAATATCTGGCAAATATTTCATTGACTGGACTACCCTGCAAAATTATCCTTTTTCCAAATATTTACATGCTAATTTTCTTGTTATATATATATATATATATATATATATATATCTCGATATATTGCTTATAATATCGCTCGCGCCCTCTACTGGACGTCGAAGTCGTGCGAACTCGAACCCTACCTTGCCGCTTGGATGACGGGACTGCTCAGGCGCAGGAGACACGGCGATTTTATATTGTTGCATGAGCATTGTATTTAGAAATAAACCCCTCGTAAAACGAAACGCGAAAAGTTATTTTCTTCATATAGTACTCTCTGTTTGAGTGCTAAAATTCACTATGTATGTAGGGGGGGGGTGTTGGCTTTGGACAAAATTCCATAAGCCACAGATTTTTCTCTAAAATACACTGCTCAAAAAAGTTAAGGCAGCAAGGAAGAAATCAAAATTTTTCGGTGATTTTTAACAGGCTGTATTTCGGTCAAAATGGTCTTTAAAAAAAGACACTTTAGAAGCTTTAAGATTCCAATTTTCAGGTTTGCAATTCCAACAGATAGCGCAAGTATTTTTTTTGCAAAATGCCTTCTTTTTAGTCATGGGCTTAACATTTTTTTCTGCCAGGCCATCTTATGGATCAGATAGCCCATTTATTCAGCTTCAATATCCTGTTTTTAAAAGCTCCATACGATTATTTGGCGCGAATATATCTGACTTTGAATGAAAAAGGATGCTTTTGTCATCGACCACTGATATTTCGGTAACAAGTGAAGTATGTGAAAGTATATTTCCGAAAACTGGAATAAATCTCCTATAAGATTTGGTTGCAATCTTTTAATATTATTTTTTTTTTGCTTCCTTAGTATTGATTTTTAAAGAGTCAACAAAAGTTGCTTTTTTCCTTGTTTTGGAAAATTGACCGCATTTTTTAAACTGCTAATGAGAATGTGTTTTTATACCTCAATGTACCGCTAATAACACTGAACGACGGCAGGTAGATCCATTGTACGGTTTCTCCGGACCCATTGGTCAAAATTTGAAAATTTTGCATCGTCAGCGTCGGATCTAACTCAATTTGGTCGGACGGAACACTAAATATTTTCTAGATCTGCCCCTGGTTAGTATTTTTATTTTTTGGAATATTCCATGAAAAAGAATAAAATGTTTCCATTTGGTATTTTAAAAATTGAAGGTGTTACAGATATCCAATGGTGACACCAAAAGAAGAAAAATGGTTTTTCAATTTTCAACCAGATTACAGGATGTATTGCTACAAAAATTTTGCTCCTTTGATATCTTTCAATTGTTTAACATTTGGTCCAGAGAAATCGTATAATGGATCGATCTGCCGTCGTGCAGGGTTATTAGGGATACATTGAGGTACAAAAAAAAAACTTGAAAACATTAGCCCTCTCATTCGCAATTCCAAAAATCGATTTACCAGGCAAAAAGTAACTTTTGTCTCTTTTAAAATCAATACTAAGAAAACAAAGAAAATCCCTCGAAGATTGTAATCAAATTTTATAGGAGATTTATTCCATTTTTCGCAAATACCCTTACATTCCTGTGCGATCACTGGTTACACTAGAGAAAATGTTTTCAAGACCGTGGACTAGAAAGAAGGTAAACATTTTGCAAAAAGTTGTGTGTTTGCTATCTGTTAGAATTGCATAATAATCGTTGCTTCTAACATTTTCAGCTAAAAAACCTGAAAACTATTATCTTGAAGCTTCAAAATGCTTTTTTTAAAGTCTACCAACGTTAAAGTGAGTGAGAAAAAGCCGCTGCTTAGTGATCACTGACTCATTATTTTTGATAAACGCGTCGTATGCAATTACACAGTGTCCTACCGTCCATTGCTTCATTGCTACTAAAATGACACACCAGTACACAGGTACCAATATCGCACTTGCCCCACTATAATCGCCTGAAGCTTTATACTATGCGTTCTAAGAACATCCGGTTGCTAGTTGTCACCCTTACAAATAAATATCGTATAGACACAGACATTGTGCAAGCCATAGCAGGAAACAGTGGTTTATATCTATATTATTCGATAAACTGACATTGACAGTAGTTAACGACAGTGAAGTTCGATGCAAGCCTATTATCTAGATCTAGATCCAAGCAGGATTTTAACGTTTAGCTCGTAAGGTGCGTAGCTAAGCCCATCCATAAGCCAATTAAACAAAAATTCTTATTGACTTTGCTACTCCTAAGCTCAGTCTCTTTCGTTTATTTCAAGGATTAACGTAGATCAAATGCGATTGAGATATGTCAAGATAGATGGTATATATCTAATATTTCATTATTAACATATATTATGGAATAGTGTTGATTTAACCGAAAACATTTGTGAATTGTTTATCACCATCTATTTCGTCATTACCCCGTTCCCAGGGTCCTGCTCTCTGATCTCTCCAACTGAAAAGTAGGACCTCGAGCTCCTGTGTGCCGAGGGGGCCCTATATGGCTTCAAAAGGATCTGTAACCACCCTTTTTTTTTAAAATTCATCCGGTCTCCCTCCAACAAATAACTTCGATGGCTTTTTCAATGAATCTGTTACATTGATTGTGAGGCCTAGATTATAGTACCAAGTAATACAGGTAGCGTAATTCACAACTGGACAGCGGATGAAGAGAATACAAGGTGAACTTTTCTTTTGGACCAAAAGCCAAAAATGACCCACTATATTTTTAATAATATATCTATATATATATATATATATATCTGTATACATAGAAATACAAAATATACACTTGTATAGTTAGGTTATTTCCGTCACATCTGACAGAAGCCTAATAACCACGGGCAGTGTTTTGAACTGAGGGCAAAACGTTGAAAAACATCACGCTACAAATTATTACGTCACACCTTTGGCCCGAAATTTACATTTTATCCTCATAATATGACTTATACTCGTAGTATGTCATCTTAATATAGACACGTAAAATTTGTATACATACATAGTAACTGATACCCCAGGAAAGTTATAGGTATCCGTGAATTCGTAATCAATTTTGCAATCAACCAGCGCGGCAAGTAGCAAAATCTCCACCGTCATCGACAAGCCGGCAACAGCGCGGCCTGCCATTGCCAAGCAATGTAGGTTTTATTTTGCATTAGCCGCTTCGTGCGCTTGAAACTGTCACTATCATACAATATTATTTTTAAGTAATGCCATAAATTCCCGATCACGGTTTGTATCTTTGATAGCATCAGAAAATTGACAACCAACTTGCCTGCTTGGGAGATTTGATTACCTTATTATAGGCGCGACCTGCACGTTCCATGCAACATTATTTTTAAGTAATGCCATGAACTACCGATTAAGTTTTGTATCTTTGATGACATTAGGAAATTGACATCCAACTTGCATGCTTGGGAGATGATTTGGTTACCTTATTAGTGGCATGACCTACACGTTCCGCGGGTGAAAACTACTTTGAAATATATCTTGGGAAAGAATGCGTTGTTTTGAAAATCCGATTTTAGTATCTTCGGATCGGGAAATCTTGTATAGCAACACATACAGGTTGTGCTGCGGCAAGGGTGGCTTAAGAACGGCAACGCTGTCTCCATCTTAGGCGAAGCGCCCACACTCCACCGCCGGCGCCGACTGAGCTGCAGGCTGCAGCAGCGTGCTCGATATCGCGCGTTGCCGCTTTTCTCGCTTTTTAGAATTCGCACTAAGTAATCATTGAATACACAACCTGTATAATCAATAATGTATGTTCTAGTGCGGCGCAGACCACGTCAAAACGCATCAAGACTTCCCAGTTGGAGTCCCGAGAATCCCGAACGCTCGGTGCTGCTCTGTAGATGGAGATGCAGACAGAATCGTTTATTATTACTTGGACGATAAAGAAAATATTCATTTGTTAGATGGGGATCGGATAGCAACACTGATTGCGGATTACCTCCGAGAGCATCTTACTGCCACTGGCATTTCTGAACTCACCATAGGCTTGGTGCAGACAGCGTACGCAAATGGGGCGTCGACAGAGTACATCACGAATCATTTGGTAAGTTAATTATTATTGATTAATGTAACACCTGAAACTTATCCTGTGGTTCTCGTGCTGATAATCCTCCATGTTTGCTAAATTTAACCACATAATGTTTGAATTACTGTTTACTTACACGACGTTTAGGCCGCCATGGTGGATTCATTTAGCGGTCAGACAAACATAGAGTATTATTCTCGATTATCCATGGAGTAATGTCATTTTTTATTATATTTACCTCCGTATTAGGGCATGTGGTTACAATATACTAACCTGTGGAGCGTTTTGCATCACAATTTCTTCGTATCAGCAGATACGATACTGTAGAAGCAAAACGAGTGTGTCACATGTTTTTACTATAAACATTTCGGCCTAACCTTGTGACCAGATACTCACTGAGATTATAAATCAGTTATTCTATATACGTGGTTTCATGTGATCGCTAAGAAAACATGGACAATAATTATCAGCTTAAAACAACTGAATCAGTTTCAGATGTTAATTAAATACTTCATTACATTAAAAATTCCAACTCGGAGAGCTGCTGTGAAATGCAAGATTCGTTCTAAGTGGTAGCTAATCGTTACTTACATTAGCTGTGCGAATAGCCTTCTTTAGGGTCTACTTATTAAGTAACACTTCACGACATTGACACTACTGCGGAAGTGACACTCGTAGAGCTTCATAAGCTCGAAATACTATCATCGTCATACAGACCCTGTTTTCCATTACCCTTAATCCGAATAATAAGTCAAACATCTCCAGAGATTAAGGGAAATATGCCTGTTACGGCCAAGTGTATATATCGGCCTTTTTCCTTGGGCTTTCATCGGTAATATTTTCTTCCAGAATATACCAGTGGCGTGTGTTTCTACAGGAATTAAGCATTTGCATCATCAAGCTCTCACATACGACGTTGGAGTTTACTTTGAAGCAAATGGACATGGTACTGTAGTTTTTAGTAATTATGCCAAGGACAGAATGAAGGATAGGGTCAAGAACGAAAGGTGAATTTTATGATTTTTATATGTTACCTGCATGTCAAAAGTAATTATTAGATCATTTTCATGTCACCTTAGATGCTACCAAACCTTTTATGGGCCATTTCAAAAATTTAGTTGTAGCCTATAGCGATAAATGTAGTTTTAAATGCAAAGTTGTCACCAACCAAAAATCCACTGACTGATGCTCTCGCAACCTTTTTCAATCAAGTCCCAAAACCACTGCTGGCATCGTTAGTTTGAGATATTCTACATTACTGTTATGAACGTTTACTAATTTTTCATATACAAAACCCCTACGCATGTTTTGTTATTTACAGTTTCCCTATTCAGCAGAGAGAGGCTTGCGAAAAGTTACTGTCTTTGATCGATCTAATCAATGAAACAGTGGGAGATGCCATCTCTGACATGCTTCTAATAGAGACGATATTGCATGCTAGAGAATGGGATATCACTGATTGGGAGGCGTGCTATAAGGATTTGCCGAACAGACTCATGAAGGTTTCTGTGAAGGTAGGATAAACAATAACTTTTCTGGTGAAGTCTCCACCTGAGTACACTTCATGTAGCAAATTAGTTTTCAAGGTCCTATAGTTAAGTGTAGCTTTTGTTAAATGTTATATGTTGCAGGATCGAAACGTGATTACTACGACAGACGCAGAAAGGATATGTCAGACGCCAGATGGTCTTCAGGACGAAATCGACTCATTGGTTTCTAGGTACAACAAAGGCAGGTCATTTGTAAGACCTTCGGGTAAGTTTCTACGTTGATAAGATGAATTCTGACTTCTTTTGTATAATCAAGAAAAGCATTTTTTTAACTGGTTGAGATTAGTAGAATTGAGAAAGCATCATCTTGATAGGTCGTTACACAGTTTGTTTGTATACCAACACAAATGAAATAATGGTTAATTTAATATAGAGCTGGAGTGTGGAGCCTAGCATAAAATATAAGCAATTTAGTCGAAGAGCTATCCTCCCAGATATTAGGCCAGTACATCAAGGCAGTTCTTATATGAGCTGTGTATAGAATAAGTTTGGAAAGACGACTTGTTGGTAAATTCATAAGGACTAAAGGCTCACTTAGGTGCGCCTTATTTAACTTACGTTGATCGCGTTGCATCAGCGTCGATTATCAGGTTAATGGCAACATAAAGTGCACTTCTGTTCTCTGCTTTTGGAGATCGTGTCACATTTTTTCTCAACCTTTTCTTCTCGACAGTGATAACATTATGCTTCACAAGCAATTTTATTAATTGGCAAACGTACGCATGGTAGATAAATAAACTATAAGATACATGTGTAAAATCAAGGTTTGATTTAGCTTTTAATGAAGTGAACTAAGACGCCTTTATGGCCTCCTTGATTTTTAAAATTTTTGTACTCTTCCGTGTCAGCGCTCTATTTTGAGGTTATGTTATAAATATCTATTTGCATGAAATTGTTCATACTTTTGATTTATATAATCTTTTATATAGCCTGAAATTTCCTACAATTCAAGAAGAAAATATAGCCTGACAATAGGAGAGCGCTGACGCTGACACGGCACAGTAGAAATCTAGAAATATGCCAGCCTTTCTGAAGGAGAGGAAAGACTATGAAAATTGAGGAGGCCATAAAGGCGTTCTACAATTGTAGGAACGACTGACGATACGGCACTTAGAGTTAAAAACTATTTTTCCCCGATTGGAAATATACTAAGTGACATATAAATCCGAACACCCAGTTTAAATGGTTTTATTTTAATAAAAGTTGGTGAATGTATTTGTCTTACTGTAAATAAGAAGTGAAAAAATTTTCAGCCTTATCAGTTGGACATTCCGGTTTTTATACTGCTTTTTTTTTAATTCACTAACGCTCTAAAAATGAATATTTCAGCCGCAGTAAAGAATCAACGTTGGCGGATTTTGGTTCTTGACATCCTTTACGATCGGTTACGATGCCTAGAGTACGGAGACCTGTACGATTTCGTCAACTTAGTGAGTTTGATAGGGGCCGTATAGTGGGACTTCGGGAAGCTGGACTTTCTTTTCGGGCAATTGCAGTTAGAGTGCAAAGAAGTGTAGACCAGTTGGTTAGGTGTTGCCAGGCATGGCTTCGAGAAGGCCGTACGCAAAAAGCAAGGGGCACTGGACGCCGCCGTAGAACAACAGACCGTGAAGATCGCCGCCTAAGATTATTGGCCTTAAGGGACCGTTTCTCCACTACCAGGTCCATTACAAATGAATGGTTTGCAGAACACGGAAGACCTATTGGCATGCGAAGTGTTTACCGACGAATGAGAAGGTTTGGCTTGTTTTCATACCGGCCACACTGGGTCCTCCCTTTAACTCGAGAACACCGACGTAATCGCCTTGAGTGGTGCAGACAACGGTCACTCTGGGATCAGGAATGGAACAGTATTGTGTTTAGTGACGAGTCTCGATTTTGTTTAGCCATGCACGATGGTCGTGCCAGGGTTAGAAGGTGACGTGGTGAAAGGAGGAGTCCACAGTTTTTTGTTGAAAGACATGCTCATCACACTGTTGGAGTTATGGTTTGGGGTGCTATAGGTTATGGTTCCAGGTCACTTTTAATCTTCATCATAGGTAACATGAACGCGCAGCGTTATATCCACGAAGTTCTAGAACCCCATATTTTACCCTATCTTGACACGCTGCCAGATCCAACCTTCCAACAAGATAATGTCCGACCACATGTTGCAAGAGTCACAATAGACTTCTTTCAACATAATGATGTCACATTGTTACCATGGCCACCAAGATCTCCCGAATAATCCCCAATTGAGCACGGTTGGGATATGATGTGTAGGAGATTGCTCAATTTGCAACGTCCTCCTCAGACTCTAGAAGCACTTCGAGAGGAGTTGGTGGTTGCCTGGAATGAGATACCACAGGAGGACGTTGACCACCTGATCAGAAGCATGCCTAGGCGCGTTGGAGAATGTGTAGCACATCAGGATGCATCCACACATTATTAGAGGTCAAAGGGCTTTAAAGCAGTGCAATCATTTTGAAATTTTTATCATTTACTTATTATGCTCCATTAAGTACGTATACAAAATTTTATTAAAATAAAACCATTTAAACTGGGTGTTCGGATTTATATGTCACTTAGTATATTTAAACGATAATTAAGCTCCTTCATCTCAAGTTTTCAAATACACTTTATCAACAGCTAAATAAAATCTTGATTTCTTTTCTTTTATTTGATTTTTACTTTTTAGTATTTATGATGTCAAATAACTAGTCTGGTAAATTTTATATAATTTTCATGTATTTCATTAACTTCATAAAACCTCTTGCCTTATTTGTATTATAACATTTTGATAGATATAAATCACTAATGATAAATCGATATTTTCCGTCGATTGCCATATGGAATTTAGAATAACGTTATTTGCGTATTGTGTTTCTCTTAAGCGGTTACTATGGAAATTGTAAATCGCCATTTTGCGGTGACCGTCATATTGGATTTGGAATGGCGTCACGTTCCTTCTTATCTTTCTCCCATAAAGCCCTTTAATTTGATACCTATTTCGTAGAGCTGAGTATGGTAATTATAAATGGGCGGTCGCCATATAGGATTTAGAATGACGCCACTTCATTTATTGCGATTCGTCCAACAAGCCCTTTCATTTAATACCTATATTACTATGAAATATATAAACCGCCATTGTGCGGCGGCCACCATATTTGATTTAGCATGATGTCACTTTGCTTATTAGATATGTCTTAACAAGCCCTTTTATTTGATACCCAAGTTATAGGGGTAACTGAAAAATGTAAATCGCCTTTTTGCGGCTGCCACCAAATTGTATTTAGAATAACGTCACTGTGCTTATTGTGGTTCATCAAGCCCTTTCATTTGATACCTAAGTCATAAGTGAAAAATGTAGATCGCCATTTTGCTGCGGCCGCCATATTAGATTTAGAATGACAAAATGATGAATTGCCGTTTTGAAGCATCTGCCGTATTGGATTCAGCACTTAATACATTTGGTATTGTTACGCGAACCAAACGTGTGTACAAAATTTCAGTTCAGTTGGTTAAGTTCAACTGGTTCAAAATTTAGTTCCAGTATTTGTCCCTTTCATACATACAGACATGCTAACATAGGTATTGAAAGTCAGGAGTTGGGGGTTGTAGCGGTTGTGGGACGTTTTTTGAAACTTTTTTGATGTTAGTATATATACGCTCTCAACCCGGTAATTATATGCACCTGTTAGCCATATTTCACATATCATAGATTTCGCTATGCATTTGTCTTTAAAACTGAGAATGATAGAGAAATGGTTTCAATACACGCGTATCTGAACTCACCTCCCGGCGTACCGGTCCGGCTGGCGAATCTATCCATACTGCAGCGCAAAAACATGTACTGAATGAACATACTGTAGCGGTGTCGCGGTGCGCGCTGCCGCGCGGATGTGGAACGAGACAATGTTGCCAAATCAGTAACTACCGTTAGGGCAGGAAAAGAATGCCATGGGTTTGACTGACTTCATCCGTTTAATTTCTCGGTTGTACATCAACATGTATGCAACGCCGTCATCAGTTCGTAACACAACTTGTTCTCACTTTCAGGTACGGAGGACGTCGTACGCGTCTATGCAGAGGCCAAGAGTCAGGAAGAGGCCAACAAATTGGCTGCAGAGGTGGCAATGAAAGTGTACGAAATGGCAGGCGGTGTAGGGACGGCTCCCGAGGTTCCAGCTTAACTGTAATGAGCATGCATGCGGGAGCTATGGTCTAGTGCTTCGTCATTATTTTAACGGTGCTTCGTATATACTCACAATCTTATTTTTGGTACACTGATGATGAATTATGACTCGTTCGAATATCTCTTGCCTCTAAGGTAGCTCTGGTGTGAGGGCGTTCAAAAGTAATGTCACTCTTGTATTTTTGAAAAACTAGTGGTGATCCAAGTCTTCAGCTTTTGACGTCATTCATCACGATATTAGAATCTCATTGAACAATGTATAAAAAATCCGATGATAGCATTTAGCGCTACATACCGTGACAAAAACCAAGAGTCACAGACAAATGAGATTCCAAAAACGAAAACTTGATGGACGATAAGAAAGGAAAAGAAATTAAGAGCTTGGATTGTCCGAGCTCCTCAGATTATAACTCTATTAAGCTTAAAATTCACTTTTCTGACGTGTTTATTGTCAGGTTGTAATGTCAAATCAAATAGCTAAAGTTTCATCGCAAGATATAAACTTTTGATATAGTACTTTCACACTAGTAGACTTAGAACTCGGGAATTGCGGTGGAGTGTTGTAGACAGTGACGTACCTGAGAAGTCACGAGATTTACTGCGTAGAATCCTTGATCCTTGATAAAATAAAAAAAAATGAGGAGTCAAAGCTCGGGCTACTTTGCACCGCGCTTACGTACGCCTCTGGTTGTAGAATTTTTGTTTGGAAATGTCTGTTGCAATGCTTTATGGTGGAACTGGGTACTAATTTATGTTTAATTGTCATGATTTCGAAAAGTTTGAAGCAACTTCAATACTGTGTGGCTATTTACTGTTTGCTGGCACTAACAGATTTAAAACCTACTATGGGTGACACACAAAAATAAATTTAAGCAGTTTTATGAATACTTAAAATATTCCCAATGTATATTGTAATAATATCAACGTATTTTTTTTTTGAGGAGGTACATCAAAAAATATCATTAACTTTATATTTTTTACTGAATCATTATTTTATTTTGCCCACTAAACCTTTTTACCTTTGAAATGGGTTTACCATTTTGTAAATACTCATTATACTTGAAAACAAGGTTTTCTTTTTTTAATATTATTACTTTTAGTATAGCTTATTTTATCACTAATCATTTCTTCTCATTTAATATTATTTCTTCAAGAAATACAACTACTTCACTCCATCCATGGTTTTATATTTTCGAAAATATTTTCATATTAGATATATAGTTACGCAGTTCAAATATTCTTGACTAGTCTATTTATACAAGGAATCAAATGTGCAATTAATTTATTTTGTATATTCATTAGAGATCATGCCATGATGATTTTGATATCATTTTTGTTGTAAAAATACACATTAGATAATTTATATATAAAATGCTCAGCTTAATTAACAGGTCACCTTTTTGAACATATTTTGTTTCAACTCGAAGACCACAGATTTTTTCTCCTGAGAATATCACACATGGAGCCTATACATATACGGCAATGCTGTTCGCGCTGTAAAAACGACCATGAAACTTGATGCTTGGAGTACCAGTGGTGATCTGACACGGTTGCCATGTTGGGTATATTTACTTGACGATATAATGTTCTGGGGAAATCACACGTTTCGCGAATAGAAAGCACCCCCTGCTCTTTGAACCAAACCTAACGCTTTGCATTGGGATTTGTGGGATATTTCAAGAAAAATTAATTCTGAGGAATTTTTGTGTTTGTTCTGGGGAAATTCTGTCCGACCCATCTGGCAACGCTATGCTTTGACAGATCCGCCATATGAACACTTTCGTTATCGTATAAGATCCGGCCGCTTGAATCTGCAGGTATCTGTTACAGCAGGGTTGCCTTTGCCAGGCAATCCGGCTGTAATCTGTTCTACTATTGTTTATCACTCATAAAAATTAAATTTTATCAAAAAACAGATACTTGCATATTCAAGCGGCCGGATCTCGTACTCGATCACTCGACGCTCAATCAGGCATCAAGTTTTTGGGTCGTTTTTTGATCATTTCCCTAGTACTCCTGGTATATAGGTCCAAAATATTACAGCTGGCTGCATTTTCACTAAGCTTCTCTTCGACATCACATATCATTTGACAGAAGTTGTGTATTTTCCTACGTGGGAGTTAAACAGCACAAGATAGCTACGATTTATTTTTCAGGGCGAGTCATTTATTATTAGTTTATTTTGAATCTGCATTTATGCAACTTGATTTGTATCGCGCAAGTCATACAGTTTTTAACAGGAATCCCACATTTCTATATCAAGCAAATACGTCATATGTCTTGAAGATTGGTTCACCAGTCAGAAGACTACAAGCGAATAGTCTAGGAAGACTATGAACTTGCAATGACGCTTGTACCTAAACAATAAAAAAATAAGAACGATAGAACCACTGTGCGTCTATTTAAACAAAACAGTTAACTGTTTATTAAGTTGAGCAGTTTATGGAGTCTCCCCACTGCCAATAAGTTTATGAATTAGGGGTGTACCATTTGTTTGCATTAGATAACTTTTATACAAATGACAAAATAAAATATTTGATAAACTTCACTGTAGTATTTATTATATGCACAAATGATCGAAAATACTGTTGCCGATCCAAAAGGATTGTTTATTTTTCAATGCTCAGGCGCTATACGCCATGTCCTATGTCCACTATATTTCCGAGAGCTACATCATCCTTGGCGTCATGATTGGCTTTATATGAATGCGTGTAACCCTTACGCAGTTTAACCTCCAATCTTTAGTCTTCATGGAGGTTAGGAAGAAGTGACAAATGATGACGAAATATTTGCACCTTTGCCATGCCTCGGTTGACCGCACATGACACACATTTCAACATAGAGACCATGTCAATATTCCACTATCTGTCTGATGACGTCTCCCTTTTTGTCCAACGCGTGCGCAGTGATCGATTCAGTTACCCCCACTATACAGTCTGCTCCCTGTGAATAGTTTTAAGCGGTTTGCCTTCCTATATTAACTGCGTTGTAAAAAACACAATCTAGCCACGGCATAACACGGTATGCGCCACTTCCTGACAGTAGATTTTTATATGTCCATCGCTCTTTTAAATACCGAATTTCATAAATGTGGAACTCGTCGCACAGTATCTATGAGCTTTGCCGGCCATGTCAGCACTGACTGTCACTATTTGAAATATTAGGTCAATTTGACATTTCGCGATTTACAAAATTATAACATTAATGTTTGGTGTAAGAGGAATTTAAAAATTAATGAACTGTGATGAACACCAATAATTCGTAATCTATTTACTTTACTACATTTTTTATACAGACAGCCGCGTAGGCAGAAAGGTTAGTAGAACTGAAAAAGCCTCCAGCAGATTGTTCCACAATATCGATACCCTATGGACAAAGCAGCGGTCAGACCGCCCAGTTCTAGATGTACGAAGTTCGAAACGCACCCATTGTGTGTGACCTATGGATTTTCAATGGCATAATTTAGGTTTTTCCGAAAAAATGTCAGCCTGGAACTAGCCGTCATTCACTTCATGTTCACTTGGTATCAACTATGCGAGTTGTTTAAATTGAAGACACGAGTGGATGTAGGTGCCGTGTAACATTTTTCTAAAACCCGTTTTTTCTGTTTGGATGAAGGTACGAGGGTCGTTTGATAAGTCAGTGACTTTTTGAATTTCCCGAGCAGTAACTTTGAATGCAACACTGCTGCCGTCAACTGTCATCTTTTATATGACAACTGTCAAAATTTGAACAAGCTATGTCATTTCATTTGAGTTTGACAGCCGTTGAAAGTAGACAGTCTCATAAATTCTAACAAAAATGGAGAAAAGTGAATTTCGTGTTCTAATTAAACATTATTTTATGCGTAAAAAAACCATCACATGCAACCAAGGAAAGGCTTGTCAAATACTATGGGGACTCTGCACCGTCTATTTCAATGATGAAGAAGTGGTTTACTGAGTTCCGTTGTGGTCGAACCAGCACAAGTGATGCCGAACGTTCAGGTCACACCACAAATTCAAATGTCAATACGAATGTCACTACACTCATTCTCCGTTGGGGCTGGGAGCCGGCGAAATTAAACCTTATCGCGGATTCGACTAAACTTGGTAATAATATGTAGTTTTTAAATAAATGAACAAAAAGGGCTTGGTATGCCGATGAAAGTACCTGTCATATCGACTTGAAGATACAACGTGACGGTAGGATTTTACCATAACATATCAACGGTCATGACGTTTCATATTCATTTTACATATACTGTTAAACATCTAGTAGCCTGGTGTCAAACTGACAGACTCAAATGAGCTTTTAAATGCAAGCATGAAGCATACAAACAAGATGTAGTATTTTTATCTGTTTGCATTGCTTGCTATAGCTTTCAGTCGGTACGACAGAAACTTGTGGCGGAAATCAGTTTGTCATACCATGTTTTTTCCAAATAAGCCTAAAATTTCCATCAAACCTTGTAGGCTTCATTGGATTCGGTGATGACGGTGAAATTCTCTTGTCACGCTGTATCTTTAAGTCGCTATGACAGGTACTTCTGGCAGCTCTTCTTGTTCATTTACTTAAAAACTACATATTATTACTAAATTTAGTCGAATCCGCGATGAAGGTATACTCAATGCCACTAGCTCCCTGGTCATTTCTATTCGCAGGGTGCTACGGTTAGCACACCTTCCTCGCGATGCGTATGCCTCTGCCTAATCCCTCCCCCACCTTCACGGAGTCACCCCGCAGCACTGTGCTGCGAGCGGTGCTCGGCGCTGCACTGGTAGCACCTGAGTTGGAAAGTGCGCTCTTTTTATTTAAAAAATGAAATTCCCACATTAAAAAAGCTCCAACGTGACTTGGATGGTGACGAAAGCCTTCCCACTATATCTCGTCGCATTCTGTTGAGAACCTTGCGCGAAATTAACATTAGATATTCGAAACGAAAAAGGAACAGTGCATTAATTGAGAAAGATGACGTCGTTATGTGGCATAGGGAATACTTGAAAACCATACGTAGTATTTGCATAATCAGGAGACAGCGAATTTACTACTTGGATAAAACGTGGCTGAATGAAGGGCATACTGTTTCAAAGTTTTGGCAAGATTTAAATAAGACAAATCATAGACAAGCCCATCGTGATGGATTGAATACAGGTATGAAATATCCCTCAGGCAAAGGTCGTCGATGGATAATCGCACATATAGGTTGTGCATCTGGCTATGTGAATGGAGAGTTGAATATACAGTGAAAGCTCCCATAAGCGGACACTCACGGTTCCGTAACTTTTGTCCGCTTATGGGAGGTGTCCGTTTAAAAGAGAGTATGTAAGTACAGAGTATAAATAACGGGGTATATAATCATGAGGAAATGAGGTATTATAATCATGAGAAAAATGAAACAGAAACTCGCCACATTTTTAAAGTATGTATTTATGCTATATATCTATATAATATATGTACATATACGCATACAAAAACATAAATGCTTCAATACATGGTACGAGAATTTAAAAAAAAACATTATTCTTTAGCTTGTTGAAAAAAGTTTAAAATGTTTGTCTGACGAAATTTCACCATCTTTTGCTGAAGGAGACAATTTTCGTAATAACTTTCTAAATTTTTCAAATGTTGAAATGCAGTGAAATCATCTTTAGCAAATTTTTTCAATATAGAAATATGATTTAGAGCTTCTCCATATGAATTTATCGTTTTTGAACCGCTTAGTGAGTCCACCAGTTCCACTTCTTCTTCTGAGTCGTTTGGACTACCATATTCAAGTTGGCCTGGGCTTTCTACATCCAAATTCGAAAAGTTGCCAATGGCATTTTCTTCTGTTGTTATGTTATTGTCTATGGCCAGGAAATCATCTACTTTCTGGGGATCTGCTACTCCTAAATGTTTGGCATGTCGCAGTAACTGAGCAAGTGTCGCTAAGGGCAGATCGTCTTCAGCATCGCAATAATTTTGCTCAGCAAATTCTGAGCTACATTCACTTTTTCTGAATCCAGCTTTGTCAAAACAGTTTTTAATTGTAGAGGAATTTACTTTATTCCATGCTGTTTTTATAAAATACAAAGCTTCTAACACATTGATAGACTTTGTAAGCTCAGATAAGCTTTGACCATCGTCAATTTTTGTTAAAATATGTTTTAAAATCAAGTGCCGATAATAAAATTTAAAGTTCTGTATGACACCTTGATCCATGGGCTGGCAAACAGAAGTTGTGTTTGGCGGTAAAAATATAATTTTCACATTTTTCATTTTCATATCACGAGGATGAGAGCATGCATTGTCTAAAAATAAAAGAACTTGCCTTTTTTGGATTCTCATTTTCCGGTCGAATTCGACTAACCACTCAGACATGATTTCTCGGGTCATCCATGCCTTTTTGTTGGATTTCCAAGTCGCTGGTAGATCCTTAATAGCAACGTTTTTTAAAGCACGGGGACGAGCCGCTTTCCCGATCACAATCAAATCGCATTTTTCACCGGCCATATTTGCACAGAATAAAATGGTTAGTCTATCTTTAGACAACTTTCCACCCACACATGTTTCTCCTTTAAAGGACAGAGTTTTGTCGGGCAATGCGCGAAAAAAAAGTCCACTCTCATCTGCGTTGTACACATCTTCTGGTTTGTAGCCAAGCAACATGGACGGAAGTTTCTCCAAAAATTGTGACACATCAACTTGATCTACTGCAGCAGCTTCGCCAGATATGCATTTGAAACTCACACTATGTCTCTTGCGCCACTTTTGCAGCCACCCGTCGGATGCACTGAAATTATTATAGCCCAAAGTAGTGGCGATTTCTTTAGCTTTCATTTTCACTAACGGCCCTGAGATTGGAATGTTCTGACTTCTAGCTTTCACAAACCACTCAAAACATGTTTTGTCTATAGCAAAACCTTCCTTTTTTAAAAAATCCTTCTTTTGATTTATATTAGTTCCTGATTGCCATTTACTCCTGATATCTTCCTTATTTTTGGCAATTTCAGCTGCTTGCGTTTTCCCAATATTAAACCTCTTTACCAAATGACGAACTGAAACACTTTCTCTGTCTAATACGTTAACAACTTCCATCTTCTCCTTTAACGAGAGCATCCTTTTTTTGGTGCCATTTTACAGTTACAATAATAAAATACGTAACTCAATCAACTACGAATTGGCCTGAACTGAAGACAAGCCACAAGATTACATACAGGCTACCCAACGAAATGCGTAAATGGGGAATCACCTAATATAAATCGGGGAATTACCGAATTTTATGTATGTAGATATGTGCATTGCAATAAGCGGAACTAAAAAATCGTCCGGGTATTAGAGTTTCGCGTCCGCTTATGGGAGATTTTTTGATCACATCCAGGAAAATCTAGTGTCCGCGTCCGTTTATAAGAGCGTCCGTTTATCGGAATGCATTTAACATTGAAAATTGATGGCTGAAATTCGGTTCCAGGAACTTTGTCCGGTTAAAAGAGATGTCCGCTTATAGGAGCTGTCCGCAAGGAGAGCTTTCACTGTATTTGAATCCGGAAACACTGGTGACTACCACGAGGACATGAATGCCGAAGTTTTTGAATCTTGGTTCAAAGCCCTATTATCCAAGCTCGAACCAGATTCGGTTATCGTCATGGACGAGTATTGCAGCGTAGAGTCAGAGGTTACTCCAGACATTCCACTAACCGCATCATTAACGGATAAACTGAATGCACCTGAAGTATCAGCTGACTATAACGAGGAAGTTTTATCGGAAGAAATAGGTGAGCTCGAGTATGACGGGCTGGAAAATTTGGCTGCCATAAATTGCAGGATGAGAGGTTGAAAAGTTCATCAAATGAAACTTATTCGTGTAACAAAAGTACGAAATTCCTGGCAGTGACTCATCTATG